TTCTGTTTGTCAGTTTCATATTAAAACACACGTCCCACCTGCTACAGGTATATGGTTACCACAGTATTTACGGGTATCGCGTATCCTGGTGATCTAATTTAATATTTTATTTTGATCCTTTCCCTCACCATGTATATATATAAGTATATAAGTGGGTATGCCATTATGAAGTTTTATTGTTTTGTGGAATAAACACTATTTTATTTTATTTTTTTATTTTCAGCATCTGACGCCTCTCTTCTCCCAGAATCACGCGATAAAAGCTCATCAGGGGGACCAAGCACAACTCCACCTCTTTGTTCAGGTAAAGCTTGTAGCTCATGGACGTTTCATTGAAGTTTTTATTTTATTGTTTAAAGATTATCCATATTTCAGATTTTTCTAGTTACATCTCAAAAGTAGAATTCAAGTAAAGAGAAATATATTAATATTTTTCTTAATAATCACTAAATGCATTCAGACTCTACTACAAACATGTAAACGACTCAAATATAATGTAGTAAAACCAACAGTCTATATACAGCAGAGGTGAGTTTCATCCGCTATGCGCCGGTATGCAGTACTAGTAAATGATTTTATAGGCAGTACCGAGTACCAGCCTTGACTTTTTGTACCAAATTATAAAAAAATCAAATATAGTACTAATTTTACTAGACTTACTAAGCTGTGCTTATTAAATATAGCTCTAAATATCAGGAGGTAGATTGAGTACTGAATTTTTTTTCGAGTAAATCATCACTAATACTTATCAGTAATGTCGTAATCTCTGTTCTCCATTCTTCCTGCATAACTTGCTACTCTCTCAACTCTAGCGCCATCTTTCGGACATTTAGAGTTTGATCTGTAATTTTGAGAATGATATAATTTTGAATTGAAGACTGCCTATACCGATCGCATGTACATTCGTTGCTATTTCTAATATATCAAATACGATAACATACCTGATATAAAATATCAGATGCATACTTATATTCGTCTTGATTAACGTTAAAAATACCTGAAACATGCCTAGTGGATGTTGGTATACTTATTTTGCAACTTATAAATTGTCCTACAAAACTTGAGCAAATTATTTTGAACACAAAAAGTGTAGCATTTTACATGACTTATAAGTGAATTTTATTTGTTTCTAATTGTTCTTTCCTGTAGGCTGTCTTAATAATTAATTTTAGTTTATACGCAGAAAGTATAATCCAAACGATCATAGACAAATTTCAGCTTTTTCATTAAACTTGCTATCTTAGATGTGGTTTATAGTGCTTACTTTTATTCCTTGCAAGCCTTGTGTTCGACTATTAATTTTCAAAAATAAAGAAATACAACAAATTTAAGCAGAACTCAACTGATGATATATGCAAATATCAGAAAAGTTTTGGCAAAAGTACGAAGGACCATTCAGGGGAACATATTAGAGGGGAGTTCATCCCCCTCGAAGTCGTTTTGTGCTTTGAGCGATATAAAAAGTTCGATCAACCTATTGGGTTACGTCAGGAAATAATTTTCTCTAAAGTTCAACAAAGTTTGTATTGTTTATATCTGACCATACATGGGCAGTGTGATTCCGTCTTTTATCATTGATAATACACACAAGAAGCGTACAAAAACGGTTTAATTCGACTACATACTAGCATCGCAGAGTATTTACATTTATAACTAACCTTTATTTAGGAAAAATTTGCTACAGGGTTCTCTAGCATGAGTTTATGTAAACCAGTAAATGTACCTGTGCGACGCGAGGTGAGAGATTTAAATTTGCTACAGGGTTCTCTAGCATGAGTTTATGTAAACCAGTAAATGTACCTGTGCGATGCGGGGTGAGAGATTTAAATTTGTTACAGGGTTCTCTAGCATGAGTTTATGTAAACCAGCAAATATACCTGTGCGATACGAGTTGAGAGATTTATGAAAGTTTACAAATCATTTTTATATGATTATTTTAGTGAGTTTATAGCAATTGTGGAAATAATGTTTTACAAATTATGAAATAAACAGTATTGTCCTAAGTAGGCCAGTAATGATGGAAAGTACACAGACTGTATGTATTCCACATGTAATTAAAGAGGAAACTGTAGAAATCCGATCAGTGCTCCTAGTGGCCACATCCACTGATGATCTATACTTAACCACCTCTAGACCTATGAAATATATGCGTATTGAAAGAAAAATAACATCTTGATACATCCCGAATAATTCCCAGATGATTAAACCGTATTTGACAGGTCTAAATGTAAAATGAGTTAGAGGACAAACAAACAAGCTTCTCTCAAATTATAGTACGTTTTGATAAGTGTTTGATGAAAACAACTGACTCAAAACCTTGCCAAATGCATGCTATTTAAAAATACGAACTTCGTTATTTATTATTAATCACTGGCTTTTGAGTTATGTGGTCTTTATTTTCTTAACGAGAGAACGAGCTTAATTTTATCTAAACATGTATAAAATATGTGCAAATTTTACAAAAACGTTATCAGTTATTTTCTGATTTTCAAATCTGATAACACATTGTTTACTGAAACGAAATCATACATGCATGTTTAGCGCAAAATTTTTAATTTCCTTATTTATTTCCTTTAGAAATTTCGCGCAAAGCTACACAAGGACTATCATCCCATAGACGTCCCTATTTTTAAACTAATATACTAGAAAGAAGGCAGTTAATTAACAGCACCCGCTGCTAACTCTTAGGCTACTTTTATCTGACAGAAGAGTGGATTTGCCGTTACTCTTATAGCACATCCACAGCCCCAAAGTACTGAACCCATTTTTACTTTAAAATTCCGTGATCCCCGAACTCTTTGTTTCGAAATCCGAGCACGCTAACCACTAGGTAATGTCTGGCTCTTGTTGATGTAAAATTAAATTTAACAATTATTTAAAAAACCTAAATGCTGCTCAGTTGAATTAAGTAATAAGATAAATATTTTCGTTCGGAAATGCTGAAAACAAAATGATTCAAAAGGTTTTAAAATGGAATTTCAAAAAAAAAAATACAAAAACATCCATCTAAACTTTTTATGAACCTACCGGCAGCATTTGAAACCTTTACAACATTAGTATTCTTATTTGATCAATTTTGCTTAAACGGAGAAAGAATATATGCTGGCGTATGCACACTCTTCCTTAATCGTTCAGTCAGCGTTTTCCAGCTTAATCCCTCAAAACGCACCAAACCAGAAATATACGTACGATAATTAGAGAGAATTGAGCCAGCGATGATTCTTGATCATAATCAGCCCACCGCTACAGCAGCAGCCACCACCCATTCACAAGCTTTTAATTCATTAGCCCTGTAAGCATCCAATTAATGGTTTCCACGAGCTTGGCTCGTGGAATAGTCTGCCAACTGGGTCGTAAATCCTCGAGACATACTCCCTATAGCGCACGAGAAAAAAAGATCCATGCAATGGCACGTGCTTGACAGAGGGTCATCTGCACATGCGTGCGTGAAAATAAGCTATCCAAGAGTATAATTCAAAAGGCGAATGTCCAAGTGTAGAGGTTCTCGTCACGTAACATTTTAAAATCACGGTATTCATACCATAGTATATGTACAACAAACACACATACACCTTGTGTGTTTTGTTTGTTTCTTTGCAGCCTTTAAAGTGATTTTGTTCAGTATAAGCTTAGCAAAAATAAAAAACACCCTTCAGCATTTATAATATATTGCGTATTTTTAACTTGAAATAAACACCATGAATATTCTAAACACAGTAACCTTCTTAATGACGTATTATTTAGCCTCAGAAACAATGAAGTTATTGTTGCAACTGTGGATGTAGAGTCTAAGATGTCCATGTTTTCTCAGAGAGTTGCGATAGTATTAGGTTTTGTGTCAAACACAATCCTTTACAAGACTTGATCCTTTGAAACAATATTCAGGTTCAGGTTGGTTATAGTAGATATGACGTTTCGTTACTCAGTGATCAGCTCAAGACATCCAACTTCTTTCGATAATACTTCTGGTGATAAACATGCAGGCTTAACCACTTAGTTATACAAAACTAAACAAGTCTGTTTTGTTTGGTATCATTAGCTAACGACACTAGCCGACAACCGGTTTTAACCCAAATTAGTTATTATATACTAGTTAAAGACCACCTGTTTTGTCTGATATCATTAGCTAACGATCGAGTTAAAACACTAGCTGACGACCAGTTTTAACCCAAATTAGTTATTATAGACAAGTTAAAGACCACCTGGTTTATCTGGTGTCATTAGCTGACGACCGGTTTTAACCCACTTAGTTATTATAGACAAGTTAAATACCACCTGGTTTATCTTGATATCATTACCTGACGACCGGTTTTAACCCACTTAGTTATTATAGACAAGTTAAATACCACCTGGTTTATCTGGTATCATCAGCTGATGACCGGTTTTAACCTATATAGTTATTATAGACATGTTAAAGATCACATGGTTTATCTGGTATTATCAGCTGACGACCGGTTTTAACCTATATAGTTATTATAGACATGTTAAAGACCACCTGGTTTATCTGGTATTATCAGCTGACGACCGTGTTAAACAAATTCACATGTCGGTAACTGATTTTAAGGAATGACGACTTATATTTATAACTACAGGCTTGTTTTAGTGAATATCCGACCAGTATTAATCAGTATATCATAATTCGGGTGTATATCAGCTGAGATCTTGCGATGAAATTAGCCCACAACTGGATGTTGACAATGTGTCCAATTATTGCAGAAGTGTACTTTTTCAGGAAGACCGACTCTATCTCTTAATTATTTACATGTAGTGATTCTCGAAAATGCGTTGGTCATCGTTGGTAGTGACCAAAACCTGTGTATGTTACCATTTGAGTTCAAAAACCCTCTAGGAACGAATGTAAACATCATTATAAAGTAAAGGCGGTGAACATCTTGAGTTTCAGTACATTCCTCTGTTCTATAGTTTAGTTAGAACATAAATTTGCATATTCAAGTGATCATGAAGATAACGAACATCTGATTATCATTTTTGACAGGCCTTCGTATAATGTTTTCCTGAGAGACACTGCACTAGCCAAGACACCAGTATATACATATATATTTACAATACGTACGAGTTTAATTTTAATTCTTTGTAGACAATTTTAATATTATAAATTCTGGTAAAAATACACATACATATTCTTTTTTCATAGGTGTGACTAGCAAACCCTATCAGCTGAATACTGACCATCACCCTCTTCGCCTTACAAAGACAGGTATGAAAAAATATGGTTTCATTTACATTTAACTTCAACTTAAATAATTACAGTAACGAATACTTAGTAAGTTATTCATACAAAGCTTGACGGAATAAGTAGGGTAAACAGTTACTTTTTTAAACAGTTCAGTCGTTCTTCACTCACAGTAGCTGGTAATGCGCATTAATTTTGACTCAATGAAAGCAGTATTTTTAGTATATAAAATTGATACCTTATTAAACGGAAGAATAATTTTCTGGTTGCATCGTCAAATTTAATAATGTCTTTCGAGTACCAGAGATCAAATAATACAGACCAATTTGGTCTGTGACAACTAATGGTTTAGAAGATCGCGCAATAACACAAGAGAAACAATCTAAATGTGTATAAGCACTACTGTAAACAAATATTTTTATCCATAACATAGTCCAGGCGCTTGTCGGGTTTTCAGTGAATCATATACACACATATATATATATATATAACACTTTAAAATTAATCAGAGGCAAATTCGTATCAGAAGTGTAGGAGGCAAATTAAAACTGGGTGACAAGGTTTATTTGACTGAGCGAAACAAGGAAATATGTGCCACAGGTGCACCCGTTACGGTCGGGGTTCAGGGTTCGCCTTAGTACCCTAAAAGCTCTTGGATTCTGGATTAAATTTTATGTATTCTCCTGCTTTTTCTGAGAGTAATTTTCCTAATTTTGACGTATTTTTACTGGTACAGATTAGAAAGTGCACCCCCACCACACTTCCCACGCCACTGCTCACCCATTATTGGAATATGTAGCGTTGAAATATCTTCCCTTATTTAGAGTTTTACTTTAAAGGCTTAAGCTCTAGACATCAAATATAAATATCTTTATAGAACGTCTCATTCTGCGGCCTTTAACGACCAACAATGACGTGGATATACTTGGTTCTCTATCGGAGGGATAATGACGTTTCAAGACTGTTTGAACAGTTAAAACGTGGCTTACATGCTCAGTTAATAAGATCGGTTGTTTTTCATATCCTTTTTTACGGTGATCTAATTTTAATTGGCGAAATCAGGTGTTGACATCTTTTGGAATACCTCAGAAACATTGGCCCCCAAGAGAAAAAACAAACAAAAACTTTCTTCCTTAAAAACCGAAAAGGACACTTGTTTATGAGAGGACGGGAACGTGGAAATGCACGTTGCTAGCAGATGTTAATATTTTAAATCATTTGATGAAAACTCTTGTATGCAGAGATTCCATAATATTAACGCTATGAAAGTAGTAATAGTGATGATTCTGTTATGTCCTCCGTTAGGGCTATGTGGAATAAAGATTGCAAAAATAAATGTTGTTAAAATAAATTTTATATAAAACCCTTTACCTTATCACAAATGTTTTTTCCTTGCGGAATATTGAAAAAATTATTGCTTTTCAGGAGCTACATATATGAATATAATGCTCACAACATATCGTCAGCACGCAGGCTTTACGTTATGACTTGTTTTTTTTGTTTTTTTTTCAAGGAATTCATTTGTTTGGCCTTCATGCTTTAATGTTAAGCCTATTGTTACGTCTCTGCTCGTTTGATAATTTCCGGTAGAAATTCTTCCCGAGAAACTTCAGCGATACAAGTCCTTTCT